GGTGGAACCCCGCCCACGCACTCGACCCACGCGCGTCTCAACAGATAAGGCCATTCACATACTGACCACACGTTTGCAATTAAAATATCGAAAAGTGAAAAAAAAATATTTTTTTCTTTACTTTTTTTACCACTGAGGCGCCCCCTAGGATTTAGCGCCTGGAGCGGCTGCTCCGTTCGCCCTATGGTAGGGCCGGCTCTGCGTGTAGTTAATGAACAGCTCCAAATTTCTGATTTTGAGAATCTTTTTTTAATCCACGTAAAGATGACAGTGCCGATGAGACAATTTTCAACAATCAACTTCACAATTATTAGTTTCCATAACAGATCAATTGTCAGATTTCATGCATTTGAACAATGCATATATTGCAATGTATTAGAACACCTCTTTCTAGGTTTTCTAATTGTATCTCTTGATCAATAACCTGTTCACATTAATCTCGTGACTTTTTATTTGTCGTATGTAGTGCTCTTTTTCTAAAATAAAATTACTGCAGGTACGCATTTAGAGACTAAAAATAAAATTGTTTTAGAAAAAACATCAGTAACTAAAAACTTGTTTAATATTACTAAATTTTTTTCTTTCTATATGTACAGGTACAGTGCATTTATATTATAGCAGTTATATAAAAAATTTGGAAAACACTATCTCAGTCTGCACTTTCTTCTCCATTTCTTGTTTTGTGTCAGTTACTAAATGGTAACTACGTTTTACCTTTTCCTTTGAAAAGATTGTCATTAGTCAAGAAACGAAGTACAGAGAACGTAGCGGGAGACAGACGATTAGCAGATAGTCCTTTCGTCGAAAGATGGCCTCCATAGTACATTCCGTTACATGTGTCATCCATCCCGTTTGCTTTTTATATCGGTTCTAGTCGGTCTATGGCATTCGTTGTGGTCTAGTTCCTTTTTATTCTGCCAGTCACCAGACTTCTCGCGTAAATATACAGAATTTTTCTTGCTTAGTATCTATTTGGCCCTTTAAAGGAAGATTTGAGAAACAGGAAATTCACCCAAAACGCTGAAGTTTTTCTGACTTAATCATGACGAATTCAAGTCAGATATCGTCATGCAATGACCGCAAAAAACTATTCCGCACACGATATCTGTTGCCAAAACGATGGGAGAAGTGTCAGCGTATGGGAGTACTTAGTCCCAATATTCCCCCCTCCATGTAACACAGTTTCACTGCCATTACTGAAATTCTGGGCATAAGTTGAATCGCTCCTATATAAGGATTTTGTACAGAAGTGATATGTAGCAAATGCCAGCAGTGATGACAAAAATTCGCCTCCACTCAAAAGAGAAAAATGTGATTTATGCTTAAACATAGAATGTAGCAGCTGTTAATTTTAAATTCATTTATGTATATCCAACAAATTTGTGTGGACTGATACAAGAGTCAAAATGTGAAACATAATTTTTTACTTTATTTCAACGTGACAAACTTTAATAATTACAATCAAATCAATCAGAGTTTTTCTTCATATTTTAGTAAAATTCTAAAACTTTAGCACAAAACACAAAAACAATGTTTACTACGATTTTTACCCATTTTCCACGTGCAGAATTTTACCTGGTTAGAGAATAAAATTAGGATCTTTATCCCATCTTTAACTTCTCAGAAATCTAGAATAATAGATTTTAAGTATACCAAACATAAGTTAAATAAAACATGTTTGTTTTTGACTTTTTTAAGGAATAAGTATACTAAGTACAGTATTTGTATGGGCCTATAGTGACTAGCACAATAGAAATCAATAATTGCACACATTTGTTTCTTATTACTCTAATGGGAAAGATTCGTATGTTCGAACTACGGCTTACTTAATGTGTAAATTGAATGTCGTATCATGCTATACATTATATAATCTGCACGTACTGGGTTTTTATAATGATAAAATGGAACTAAACTGGACAAAAATGATTAAAATTGCAAAATTTGATCAATTTCAGCTTTTCATATTCTAAAAAGTTTGCAAACTTCAGGTCTGCTAAGCATTTCACATACAGATTTTTTGTACATCCTATCTGCCAAAAAACGTAATTCTAACTCAATTATATATATATTAGAAACTATTGAATTGCTTAGGTATAAACTTAAATTAAAAATATTATTTAGAATTCTGTGCTAATGATAAAGAATAAGCTGTAGCATAGAATTTAATGTGGATGGATGAACTGGAGGAAGCTGAATAGTGTGTTGTGAGACAAGAAAGTTAGCTGCAAGCTGAAAGGTAAATTATACAAATCGGTTGTTAGACCTGCAATGTTATATGGGGCTGAGACATGGGCAAAACAAGAGTCCAAGAAAGCAAGATGGAGGTTGCAGACATGAGAATTTTGAGATGGATGTGTGGAATGTCAAAGAAGAATAGAATAAAGAACAATTTTATTAGAGGTTCTGTTAAGGTCCTTTGATCAGAAAGATGCAAGAATGTCGACTGAGATAGTTTAGCCACAGAGCAAAGATTATGTAGGAAAGAGGGTTGGAAAACTGATCGTAAAAAGGAAAGAAAAAAAGAGGAAGGCCAAAGCTGCATTAAAAAGATAAGGTGGAGGAATCTTGAATCAAGTCTTGAATCAGAGGAGACTTAAGAGAGGAAGCCCTTGATAGGGAGAAATGAAGGAAACACATTAGAGAAGGAAATGCTGACCCCATAAAAACATGGGAAAATGCAAAGATGAAAAAGAAGAATATGAACACTTGTCTTTACATGAGATTTTAAGTAAACATTTTTTACAGTGCATTTCTAAAGTCATGTGCATGTTTCATGAATAGTTATGCCTGAGAATATGTATTTTTAGGTACTACTAAAACATTATTTTATCATTAGAACATATTTTTGACTACTTTTGATAAATAGCAGAAAATTTTAAATAATAGATCCATGAAATCCATTATGAGTGTGTTAGCAGACCAATATTTGTTTTTATTAGACTGATAGGAATAAAGGTTTCAGTATAGATTCAGTTTATAGATCTAGAAGAACAAGAAGAGCATTCTATTTAAGCAACTGAGAATGATACTACTAAATTTGAAGTTTGAAGGATTCTTTTAGTTTGTCAATTGTAATAAGAATTCTAACAACAGAAGGCAAAGTAATCTATTACAAAGTATGTTTCAAACAAGTTATTTAGACAAATTACAATGCACAGAGTCATAAATGAAAGTCTTAGTTCCTGGATAATGCCAGTCTAGGTTTTGGTTTGAATATTCAACTTTGTCAGAATCATGGTAAAATTATTGTCTGCTAATCCATAGCACTAGAACTTAAATCAGCTTGAATTGTATGGTTGTGTTTCCTTTGATTATAAATTTGAAATAATGTCATTAATGACTTAGTGGAATACAGAAAGTCTCTAAAAGCAAAAAGTTTTTACAATTTTGCAAAATGAAGGAACCCACTAAAGTAAAAATCCTAGTGTCTAAATTTTTAACTGACAACATTCTTTAATAATTTTCAATTTATAGGTGTTTAGAGATACATGAAATTTTCATTTTTTTGAAAAGGATACGTAGACTGGAAAAAGTAAACTGTTTTCTGGAGGATAAAACTAAATTTTAGACAGGCCCATGCAGAATGAAGTTTAAAAAATATTTTTACAATATAGCTTTATAAACTAATAAAGTAATACAATACAGTAGAATGAATAGAAACTGAATGGGTACAAAATAAATACAAGTTATATACAATACACTGTTTTATTAATATAGTAACATTTTTCTGTTTGAATTGCCAAATGGAATGGTTAAACCCCCAAAACTCACGTGGCAGCCTTAGTAATAGGAAAAAAAAAATATATTGATCTACAACCATCATCAATCCACACACTTCATAAAATGTTGAACAAAGTTAATTTTAAAATAAACCATACACACAATCTATACTTTGTATGATAGACAAGTGCACATTGTATAGTGGAAACCATAGCAACAGATCAAAGATTTTTGTGTTTTTTATGTTCGTTTAAGAATATTTCTTAAAAAAAAGCAACATGATAAAATAATTAATTTTGGTATGTATCTCAAATTTCACAGATTCATTTTTTACTCTTTAATTGGAAGTGTATGTTTAGAGAAATTATCTAATTTATGCATGTTTGAAAAAGGTACTAGCAAAATTCTTGCAGGGATTCCCAACTACTGAAATATACTATTGTTAGAAATGCTGTTAATATTGCCAAAATATAAAAAAAATTACAATATATAATTTATGTGATAATTTTAAAGCTAAGTTTTTAACAATACTGCATACAAGTTTTTAATGAATATTACACTGAAATGAAAAGATAAAATTTTTAGTTTTCATCACATTATTAGAAACAAAGATTTTTTTTTAGAATTTAAATAATTCAGCTATTGTTTTGACTGAAGAAGTCAAAACAGCATTAAAGTTTAACTGCTTAGTGGACTTAAGAAGTGCACTAAGCAGTTAGAAACTTAGAAATGACATTGAACTATTTGAGTTCTGTTCTTGTTAGTCAATTTTTTAAAATTCTTTTTCATGTTTTTGAAACTAAATTGAAAATATCCCACATTCAACACAAAATTAATTTTATTGCAACAGTGTTTGATTGTTGAATTATTTTAAACATTTATGAGAGATTAATATTGCTTAAAATATTGAAATATTGATTTGCCACATGCAGCATTTAGAAGGAAAAAATAATAAGAAGTCTGTACCTAGATGTGACTGATATTTACTTCATTTTTTTTCATCATGTTTTAGCATAGGACAAGAGTTAAAACAATGAAACAAAATGTAATTAAAAAATTGTTTTAATGAAAAATTATTCTTGATTAATTGCTAAATCAGTCCCAATATTTAAAGATAACTTTTAATGCATTAAAATCTATCTTCTTAAACAGTTTATCACATTAAATAACACAGAAATTAAAAAATTGTTTATGTATTTATTTTATAAAGTATTACATGTAAGAATAAATTATGTACTAATACTTTTCAGATGATATAACTTATTCTATTTATATTGCAGACTTTATAAAGAATTTGTTAAAAACTCCTCAAATAACTGTTCCACTTCATTTCAATAAAATATATCTTTGAATAAAATGTAATGAAATTATTAATGGTATTTAAATAACATAATGCAAAACAAAAATATTTCAGATTTATATTCAAATACATAAGTAATAATCAAAGTCATACTAACGACATTTTTTGTTACATTTTAGGTATATCTTATCATCATTGAAAAGCCCAAGCAACTTGCTGTAGTTGTAGCAGCAAACCATTTTTATTACTGTAGATCAACAAGATACTGGAAATGGCTAAATTTTAGAAATGTTATTTGACATCTTTCCTGGGACCAACAATAGAAAATGTAATGATGTTATTGTCTATAATTTTCAGTATGATAAATTCCTGATTTAACATAAAACAAAAATGTTCATAATTATATAAAAAAATAAATATAAAATGTTGATATTTCAGTAAAGTTATAAGTATTAACAACAGAACATTTTTAAATTGAACAGACAAATTTTATATGTATATTTGATGAACATATATGTTTAGAGTTAAATAACATTCAGATATTTCAAATGATTATTTAATGGAATGCTTTTAAATTAATAGACAAGAACTAAACTACACAATGTACACAGTGAAAGATTTTTTTAGTAATCTCTCCTATTTTTAGTATATCTTCCCATTCTCCGTGCAGCAACATCCTCTGCATCTCGCTTAGACTTCCAAACTTGATATCTGTCTGCCATATCCACTAAGTCTTGAGATATTTCCTAAAAATATATGAAATATTTTACTGTTTTTAGAAAAAAATTTGTTTTATCACACAATCTAATTATTCACAGGATACAGATTTCTGTTTAAGTCGTTAGCAATGAAATTTGTTTTTCATTTATTTTCTGGATTATTTGTTTATAAAATAAAATGTTTATATTTTTTTGGATAAAATTTTAAAATATATTTATGCTGCAAATTACTTCAGAACATATCATCTTATGTTTAACTTGAATCTCAAATTTTCCAAAAAACTCAATTTTTCATTGATTTTTAAAAGAAAGGAAAATAATTAAAAATGATCTTTAGTCTAAAATACACTATAATAATATTGTTAAAGAATTATTCAAAAGGAAATGAAATTAGTCTTTTCGATTATAAATCTTTCTTTGCAACAATGGAATATTGAAACTATACCTTTCACATTTAAAAATAGATAGAAATTAAAATATTATTAAACAGGAATAATGAACTTTTGAAAGCTGGATAAAATAAAAACTCTCTTGTATTGATAAACAAAAAAAACTGGTCAAAATGCTGCCCAATTACCATTATCAGTAATAAGCAGAACAATACTGTACTCATAATAAGGTTAAAGCATCTACATTTGAAAATAGTTTCAAATATGAACTTTTTTAACACATTTGAAACTAAGAAATGGCTTCTATAAGCAAGAAAATTTTCTAAATGAAAATTTTGATCATTTAAACAAACTTTGAGTTGTTTGTTTAAAATAACTTTCAATAATACATATGTATATATTTATGTGGAAAAAGAGTTTAATGTTTGCCTAAATATATAAGAATACTTATTTCAATAAAAAAATATTATATGATGCAAACAGTTTAGATAAAAAGTCTAACATATTATTTTGTTACTAATGCAAAAACAAGGATATTTGCCTGAAGAATAAAACTACTATATAAAATCACCATTACAGTAACTTACTGTTTTCATTATTAGTACATTTTTCATTTAATGAATTTTCTATATTCTGGAGGAAAATCCCCAGGAAACAGTTTCAATTGTATTTATATTGTAAATATGTTAACTAAGAAATATATGGCCTATTTATTTTGTTAAATTTTAAATACAGCATATTATTTAAAAATTATAAATAATTTATTTCATAAAAATTTCTTTTAAATTTAATAATAAAACTATCAGAATTTTAAAAGCACGACAATGAAAAATTTTTGTATTTATTGATAAAAATTAATTCTTCAAAAAGAATGAAACGATTTGTAATGTATTAGAAGAAAGTACAATGCACTTTAATCCAAACTAACTATTGTTGGGGAGTTGTTTGAATTAGTGAAGAGTTCAATTAGCAGGGTTATATATAAAGTAAAGAAAAGGATTATAGACAAAGATATATATATTTAAAAATATTCTGTGATTTCTTCTCAGCTGGAATATTTATCACCATAACTGACATCAATTTTGATTAGGAAAACTGCACTCTAGTTCTTAATCAAATAATACATCCTAAATTTCATCTTTTTATTAAAAATTAGGGGGAATAGTATAAAATGAAGAAATCAATTAATAAAAAAGTATCTCCAATGCCACATCATAATTGAAAAGTTGATTATTTTATAATTTTTATTATTAAAAAGTTATAAAAACATTTTCAGAAATTTCACCATCATTTTCAATTAGAAATAATTAAAAAATGTGTTATTGTAAAATTAAAAATTATCTTATTATAAAAATTTGATTTAAAATTCTTCCATTTCATAATTAAAAAAGTTAAACCACACCATAGTTATTTAATTCCAGTTTGGATTTTAAGTGTTTTTTAAAAATATTAATATATTTTTAAAATATGTAACTACAAAATCTATTGTAATATTCATGTCTAATAAATATTATTTCTCAGTCAAACATATTTGTTACATACAGATGCAGTTAAAAATGTATCAGTAACATATTGAATATTTATCACTTTTTTCCCCATCCCAACATTACATGCTAATATATTCTTTGAATGAAGAAAATGTAAATATGTTCAATTATAATGGTAACAGTAAAATAGATTATTATTGTTTTTTATTCTATAAATTGCACTATAGATATTTAAAAGTAAAAATATTGATAAAAAATTAAATTTTCAAAATTTGCCATCAGCACAATTATATGTCAAAACATTTGGGACAACATAAAATAAGCCTATATCAATAAGGAACAGAAGTAGACATTTGCAATCTCCCTTGTGAGTTTAAATAGAGATCTGATCTCTTTCAGCTGTTTAAATTTTTACATTTCTAAAATATTTTTATACCATGTTTATCATAAATAATTTTATTATTTTATTAATATAAAATTTTATTACTTCCTTTTAATTGTAACATTACTCATACATTAATCATGTCTCCTTCCATCCCTTTCATCTGACAGACCCTTCCAGTTCAGGAAGGCTCATGTCTACTCTTTTGCTGTACTAAATGTAATTATGTTATGGGCAGTTTGAGCTACATTTAATTCAAGTTATGAAATTAATTTTAGAGAAATAATATACCAAGAAAATTTTTGAGGGAGTTACCAAAATATGAAGTATATTTCAAAATTTTGTCATAAAATTTACTTATTGTAAACAAACAAATATTTCTTTACATAAACTAATTCATAAACTAATGCACTGCTTAGTTTATGTTATAAAATCATTTGTGAACAGACATTTAACTAAAATCACAACAAAATAGTCTATATTATGCATTACGATATCTTTATATAATCCATAATATAAATAACTAAAAAAATTCTCTGATAAAAAACAGAGCAAAGAACTATTGTTTTTCTGACTAAGTAATTATGTAACAAAACCAAAATGCACAGGCCATTAAAAATTTAATTTTTTCATACTTAATATAAATTTCAGTCTCATATCCAAAATTCATTGATGTCTACTATATTTCAAAGAATGTTTTTGAATCTTAACATCAACTACAGAAAAATAATGAAATATATTAGATTTCATATCAGCAATTTTCGACTCAAACTATTCTAATTTATTCTAATAAAAACCAAACAGTTTTTGAACATTCCATTATTATTTAATAAATTATATTTCAAAGCTTAAAATATACAGTTGAATATTTAATTTTTAAATGGTATGCCAGTGGTTGAGCAATAGCTGATTGTGATTTTGTACCTGTCCAATGTATTATAGTTTTTTTGGGTTTTCTTCGTGTATCTAGCACCCAAGCAGCAAACAGTTTCCCCAGAAAGTTCTGAGGAGGCATCCTCTTAACAAATTCTCCTTTTGGTGCATAATCTTATCCCTTCAAATCCTTATTCCATCCTAATTCTATTTTGAGGATAAATTGCAAAAATAACCAGAGAATTAAACAAAATATCTGACTATAGCACCAGTAATTTATAATGAAAAATTAAAAAGGAATCAGCATAATACAAAAAGGAAGAAAACAAGAGAGATTTTTTGGAAAATGGACAAAATCATGAAGTTAAACTCCTAAATTCAGAGAATAATTTATTAAAAAAGTTATATTTAGTTATAAATTACTAAAATTTCAAATAAGTATATAAATGCTTGCTTTCTATGTTAAGGTATACAAATACTAAACAAAAAGTTCTTTTTCCAATTACAGTAATCCAATATAATTATATGAATATATAAAAGGACTTTAAAATGTAAAAATGTTTACCAAAGCCATTGATATCATCCCATTTTTAAAATATGTATTAAATTTTTAAAAAATGTAAATTGATTGATATAATGCATTTATGGTTCAGAAAGATAGATCTCCTGCACGCAGACTACTCAAAATTTACTGAAGAGCTACATGTAATATAATGGCAGTAAAGGAATAATTAACAACTTAACTAAGTTGATATACAGTATAACTCCAATAATCTGTCAAAGATAAGAACAAAATGTGTGACAGATTAAAGAATTAAGCAAATTAGCAAAGGATTAAGAACATACATTCATTATGTACTGTACATACATAACTACATATAAAACTTTACAGAAGTATAAGCCATATTATATCAATATATAAATTTAATCAAATGAATAAATATTCTCTATTTTTGAAAAAAATAGATAATGTTTGTCTACCTCTATTGAGCCTTTTGTGAAGTTACATTACAAATGGCAGATGTCAGAGACAGTTAAAGCATCAGCTTATCATTCTGAGAACCTGGGATTGAATCCAGGTGAGCAACTCAGGAATTTTTCATCATCAGTCTGTACCAGATGTATTGGGCCCCATTTTTACCACCTGGCCACAGATTGTGAGCCTGATCAAAACCATGACAACACAGGATGTTAAAACAGGAAGTTAAAAAAGAGCTACATTATATATTCTTTGCAAAGTAAAAGAAGTGTGTGAGCCATTTAAGCTCTGTTTTCAAACCTATCAAAGCTTCATATTCTTTGTCATTATTTACAATTTATCTTCTTATCTATTCTAGAACATTGTTAATTAATTCATCTCATTAAGAAGCTCATACTCATTGTCATATCAACAAACCATTTGTTTACTACAATACATTTTATTCAACATTTTCATAACCAGAAATTTGCATAATTAAATTTAGTAGTAAAAGCTAGAATTCTTTAAACTTCATTTTCTACAGCAATTTCATTACACCATAATTTCTTCCAACACTTCTATTGAGTTGTAAAGCTAATGCCAACATTCACCAATGCAGTCTATAGTTTTTTAGTTAGTGTGTTAATTTTAAATGCAAACTTAGCTTTAGTGGATTTAAAGCTCCTCAACAACAATTTCCATTAAAATCCAACAAAGACATTTATGCCAAAAGGGAGATTCAAACCTACAATCCGGCATCTTTACTACTGAATATCTTTAATACTTGCTGAATTTTCTCTAAAACTGTTGAATCAGCATCAGATGCTATTATTAAATTTTGGAAAAAAAACATGAAACAATTTTGAATGTTTTCTTGATTCTTGAGTTGAATCAAGAATGTATTTGCTGGAAGAAAGACATACTGTCTTATCTGATGTTAACTCCTCTACAGGATATGTTAGAACATTGTCTAGTAATAGTAAAGCTTGGGTGTTAAAGAAAATCTCAGAATTAAATCTAACAGCAGATACTGTGGTGTTGTGAAATCATTCATTGAATTTTATTCTGTCCATCTGTGCATGCACTTTAAACCACAATTTTGTACAAGCAATTGGTTTATATTCATATTTTTAAAAGCAATGATTTGTTGACTTTCCTGGTGATAATACTGTAAATGTCAGCCAATAATTTTGGTATTTGTACATAACATCACAATCATTTTTTTTTTTTTTTTTTACTTTGTACCAATGAGCTGAAGATTCAGATGCTGCCACAATTTTTTGTAGAAGTGATTCTAACTTAACCACAAATAAGTCTACAATTGTGACAAAATAGACTTAACATCTTTTTTCCCCTCTCCTGTAATTTACAGGTATAAATTGCAAGAGAGCAATCTGTTATCATCATTGTATTTGTGCTTCATTTTCATTCTTTTTTACAATATGCAGTCACAGAATTTCGAGTAAATTTTTGAATATACTAAGCTTGAGTTTCATGTTCACTTGAAATAACAAGTCACCATTAATTTTCTTATTCAACTCTACAGCTTTTCCTTGGGTACATGGTCCAGTCAGCAGAACTCCTTGGTATTTTGTTGAACAAAACACTGAAATAACACAAGATCTACTTTATTGTTACTGTAGAGTTTCATTGTTTTCTCTCAGAAACATTCCCACCAGATGCTTCCATCTTACTAATTTAAAAAAGAATAGTGAAAAAGTTGATAGTCATTTAAAGTAGTTCTCTCAATTCTACAGAATTTGACAAACTTATAATTTTACCCTTTTTTTAGTCATTGAACAATTTCAAATGTTTTAGACAAATCTAATGTTCTGTGTGTTTACTTATTGAGACATTTTACATATTCATATAATAAAACTTCTTAAAATTGTTACTGCATATAAACAAAAACAGAAAGATTAAAAAAACAATATGTAAGAATTTCAGCCAAGATATGTGGTTAATGGCATAGTAAATGATTAATTGGCAATAACATATTGATGAAGTGGAGATATTGACTGGGTGACAGATTACAAGAAATGACAGACTAAAGAGTGGCAGTCTAATGAGGTTCTACTGTAAAATTTATTGATATTTATTAATGAGACATTTAAAAGTAAAAATTTAGATAGCTAATTAAAAAGATGCAAGATAATTTTCTACATATTCAAATATTTTTTATTTTTGTTTTGTTAATATTAATTTAATGATTTCAGTTCAATAACAATGTAAAATTGAATTTTAGAATTTTTATTCTATGGAATGATTTTTCTATCAAATTTTAAAACATTTACAAAGCAAAAATATTTTAATTTCTGGACCAAAATTGTTTAGAAACAATTGATATATTATTATGTCAAGCAATAATCCTAAAATTACTGAAACTACAAAATGAGATGCTTTTATAATAAGATATAATGTAACATAACTAAAAAAAACTATAAAAACTTAATCTTTTCATAAAATATGCACTATATAATTTATAATTTAAAATTATCAACAAAGTTAAAACAAAAATTAAAGTAATACTTCTCTCTTCTTATTTCTTTACAGCACAAAGTTTAGTAGTACAAATGAACATTTTTGACCATTTAAATGGCCTTCACCAGATACAAATAGCATATTCAGAAGAATGTATTCTAATACATTTGAAGCTTTTTTAAAATTTCACACTTTGGTTCTGTTTGGATCATCATGTGGCTATGTTCAAAGAAAGACTTTGTCCAAAGGCATGAAAATTAAACCATTTAAGTAACATTTGAAATTGTTAGTTTAAAAGCTTGTTAGTAGCATCTAAATTTAAAAAATTAATATCTTTTAATTAACATGCCTGCAGATCATTTAAAAAGAGCAAAGCCTGTCAGAGTTGTGGAAGACTTAATTTATCTTTATGGCTGATTCATCAAAGTCTTCCACAAGTCTGACAGGCTTTGCTCTTTTTAAATGATCTGCAGGCATGTTAATATCTTTTAAATTTAGATGCTACTAACAAGCTTTTAAACTAACAATTTCAAATGTTACTTCAATGGTTTAATTTTCATGCCTTTGGACAAAGTCTTTCTTTAAACATTTGTTCTGTTTGGAACATAATGTGGCTAAATGCAAAGTTTTAAAAAACTTCAAGAATATTGGAACACAATAATCTGGGATTCTTCTGAATGTGTTTTTTGTATTTGGTAAAGACCATTTAAGTGGTCAAAAATGTTCATTTGTACTACTAAACTTTGTGCTGTAAGAAGTAAGAAATGAGAGGTATTACATTTTATACTATTTATGATTTACTTTGAATAAACCAAGGAATTAAAAATGATATTATAAAAACAATAAAGTATATATAAAAAATAACATTTTTAATATATTTAAGTTTTTTCCATTCAATTTTATATGAAATCGCTATATCATGTCTTACAATTTTTTTTGCAGATAATCAACTTACCTGGCCAGCTTCTTCCATAATCTCAATGAGATCCTTAGCTTTACTCCAATCATTACGAGTCATTAAAGTAATGGAAGCTCCCGTTTGGCTTTAAAAAAATAAATTTAAAGTTATTTGAATATTATTAAAAATGATAAAAGAAACAATGTAAACATTAATAATAATAAAAGTTTCATGTGTGATGGAAAATGACTAATAAATATATTAAAAATTTTAAACAAACCACACACAAACTTTTAGTTTTTCATTCAGTTAGTAACTCCAGAAGTTTATAAATCGTGATAATACAATTACTTCATATCCTATTTAATCTTATGTGATTTTTATAAATAGATAAACAATTTTAAATTAAAATTGATTTATACATTATTTATAAGATAAAAAATAATGTATTAAAATTTAAATTCCAATAATTTATAATATAGAATTTAATGTATTACTATATATTTTTCTATAAATATGATCTGTTAAGTTTTTGAAGTTAAATCTTAAAATGAGACAGGAATCATGACATTAATTTTTTTATACGAGTAGCCCAGGATGCCTCCTAGTGGGCATTCTTTACAAATTCCCATGATGTACAGTTCCTTTGACTTTTTTGTTTCTATCAATATGCTCTACAGCTCTGATAAATTCCCAATCGCATCATACGGATCCAGATTTCTACCTATTAAACATTCTATAAATACTTTAAAATAGTTTAATTTGTTTATTTACCTTCACTTGTAAACCTTGATTTTAAATGTATCTGCCATTTTTTCAACAAATTTCCCATGAGTCAATACACGATGTTCACTGAGTCACGGGATGTTGTAAACATGCAGTTCAAGTTAATCAAGGCATATAATAATCATTTATACCATTCCAATTTCCAATAATAAATTCATAGCAATAATAAATTCCTATTACAAATAAAATTTATTGTTAATTTAAAATCATCACTAGGCCCCTAGTGGGATTTCTAGGCAATGGATACTGTTACAGATGCGACAATGGCTTTTATATATATAGATCATGCATCATAACTATATACATTTATAAAGATATTCATATGAACTACAGTAATTTCTTGGAACATATTGCTACAACAACAGCAAAGAAAAATTTGACAAGAACACTTTACAATATATATCTGATCTTGTTTGCTAATGAATAAAATAAAAGGGTATTAAAGCAATGAAGAATATATACAAATAAACTCAATGACAAAATGTTACTAAGAAGGAAACTCAGTAAAACTATATAGTAAAGTTGACACAATTAGGATGAGCATTTCAAGTGCATATTAAAAAAGAAAAAAAGATAAATATTTGATTTCTGATTTGCTGCATATGAAATAAAAGAAACCAGCCTACCAAATTTTATTTTATTTACAGGGTGTAGCGTAAAGAGTGGATAATCTTTACCTGCAGATAGGTGACACCATTACTCTTCAGAAAATTAAACATAGTGTTTAGTAAAAGTGTCATAGTTTTCAAGTTATTGGACATTTTCTATTTAAGGACAAAGTGTACAAACAGCCCATGACCTCAATCGAGCAGCTTCAGAAGCAAATCGAAAAGGCTGTGTGGGAAATCAGTGAAGCAGGTATTGTGGGAAAAATTAAGCAATCATTTATTAGATGATGTAGGGCATGTGTCAAAGCCCATGGTGGTCACTTTGAACACTTATTGTAAATTTACAATAATAAATGTAGTAACCCAATTGATCATTTTGTTTTGTTACATTTTAATTTGATTCATTGGATTGCCAATTAGATTATTCAGGAGTCCAAATCATTCATGAGATTTTAAAAATTTTCCTTGCTCTTTCTCAGTAGGAATATTAATTGAATTGAAAGCTACAAATGCCATTTATGCTATTTTAAATCTTGGTATAATAGGCAAATTAGTTAGTTAGTTTGTCACGCAGGTTACAGTACTTTTTGTTTTTTACACAAAAAAAATTTTGAATTATTTTTTGTTCTAAAAAAAAAAACCAAGTCTATGACAATTTATGTTTGATAGAACATGTATCCAAGACTAGTATTCAAAAACAGACTGGAAAAATCCTTGATTTGTGACCATGACATTGAAAAATGTGAATGAGTGTGTCCATTTAAAAAAAAAAAAAAAAGTCCAATAACTCCAATGTTTAATTTTCTGAATAGTCATGATGTCCCCTATCCTCAAGTAACAGATTATCCACTCTCTATGCCACACCATATATATACACACACGGTGTGGCATAAACAGTGGCATATATATTTCAAAAAGTGTATATTTTATGCATTATTGCCACATTTTCAGGAGGATTCTGCATATATATTTGCATATTTCTATATTTATTTTTATACATAAATTTAATTATATATACACCAGACAACAAAAAAATAATGCATTATGAAGGACTTGTTGATTTGAATAAAAATTGATATGTTGCATCATCATAGTTAGATATGTAAATGATTAACTTTTGGGAACAGGTTCTTGTGTCGTATTGCCACCAGAGGGCAGAAAATTGCTTCCTCTGTCTGATATAAAGGTGCACGCTATGACGACTTGTGCATATGTCCTGAGCTTGTATTGATGGTTGTGACTTTGTTGAGTAACAGACATGCCTCTACAACGCATTCGATGGCCTTACACACAGTTAAGTGAGTTTGAGAGAGGTCACATCGTTGGATTGAGAGGAGAAGGATGGTCATACCACTGGATCGGCTGCCACAATTGTTCTGATGGAACTGTTAGGATGTGTTATGAGCAGTGGGTATGTATGGGTACGCACAAATGGCAAATGGGCTCTGGATGCTATCGACAGACCACCAGGAGGGAGGATCGTGTCATTGTACGCCAAGCATGGACAGTGCCTACAGCTCCATTGTCTACCATTCATGCAACGGTGGCACCTGCATTATGGAACCATGTATCCAGCCGCACCATTTCCAGATGCTTAGTAGAAGACGGATTGGTCGCCCAACACCCAGTATGTATTCTACCATTAACAGCCACCCATCAACGCCTCCGTCTGCAGTGGTGTCATGCACAACAATCATGGACAGCTACCGACTGGCAGTGTATTGTCTTCAGTGACGAATCCCACTTTTCTTTGGGGGCTCACGATGGCCATATGAGAGTATGGTGGTCAAGGCGTCAACCTGGCATGTACTGTGGAGAAGCACACGGGCCCAACCCCCCAGTGTTATGGCATGGGGAGCTGTAACATACAACAGTAGGACACCTCTAGTTGGGCTGTGAGGGTAACATGCATGACAACGATATGTGCAATACATACTCCGGCCACATGTGTTACCCCTCATGGCAGGGCTTCCGACAGGAATATTCCAGCAGGATAATGCCCGGCCACACATCACAGCAGTCTCCCTAGCATGCCTACGTAACATTGCCACACTTCCTTGGCCTGCACAGTCTGCAGATTTATCGTTAGTCGAACATGTGTGGGACGGCCAGCTGTGACAGCCGCAGGATCTGACGCACCTTAAGTCCGAGTTTCATCACACATGGACAGATATGCCGCAGAACATTATACGCAACCTTTATGCCTCCATGCTGAGGTGTATTACAGCTTGTATCTGCACCAGAGGTGGCCCAACGGGATATTAGCACCTGCACTGTATTGCACATTACTGCACAATAAAGTATGTTTTTGCATTATAGTTGCAATCATATACCTGTCTAGCTATGACAATGTCACATACCAATTTTTATTCAAATCCAACAAGTCCTTCATGGTGCATTATTTTTTTTTTGTTGTCCAGTGTATTTTATTTAATTTATTTAAATTTTACATATAAATAGCAGTGTAAGATTTTAAAAATAGCAGCATCATCTATGGCAAAAACATCAGTATATAAATCTGATACTGCAAGTTGATACATCCTTCTGTAGTTGTTAATTAAAAACAAGAGATCTGTTCAGTTCATCTGTTCTAAATTGTTACCAGTACAAGACCTATTGCAATTGGCATTTTACAAATTTTTTTTACAAAATTGTGAGATCTGTATAGACCCTGTGTCTAATTAATAATTTAATTATAAAGTTAAATTTTGAAAGAAAATAATCTTTAATTTTTCGTGTGAAAATATCATTTTAAAAACGTGGGAAACAACTAAAAAGTCACTTCCTTTAATAGAAGTTGAAACATCCTTCTATTTTACCCTTATCTACCAAAAATCTCAACACCCTGGGAACTGTCGACCCCTTGATAAATCCCCTTTTCCTCTATTCACGTGAGAGAATCCAAAGTGTTGATTGGATAAAAAAGAGGAGATATAGAAAGAGTTGTGCAGGATTTGAGGAGTATGCCTGAAGATCTCACAGAAGAGACGTATTCCACATAAGTCTCCCTAAGGCCAACACCCTTAGTTAGGAGTACGCCACGAGATTCCATAGAAGGAAGACGTATTCCGTATTGGCTCTCTAAGGCCAACGCCCTTAGTTACGAGTACGCCACAAGATCTCCTAGAAGCCAGACGTATTCCATACCGCATCCCTAAGGCCAACGCCCATAGTCGTATCCAGCCAATTTTAATAATGAGTTAAGTTAGTAAGAATTATGTGCTTGTCAAGACCTCTCCATGAACTGAAGTATAAGAATTTAAAGAATTGAAGTATAAAGAAACAAGAGATCAAGATAAAGAGAAATTATCCAGAAGTAGTATGGTTATACTAAACATTGTGAGCTCTCTCTCTCAATCGATTAGTTTTAATTATTCCATTTTTGTGTAAATTCGTTTATTTTTGTTTGATTAAATTCTTTTTATTATATTTGTTTAAGAAATGTCTCTCAAGTGTCTGAATCAAATCCGTGTTATCCTCATCACATGCGTGTTAATCTGCATATCTAAATTTGATTAACTGGTGTCGGGAATCCTGACTAGGAAGAGGTGATTACAAGGTCACCTAGTTCCGCCAAAATTTACACTCTCCTATATAAAAAGTATCAAGACCGAATCTTGCAATTCTGAGTCGAGTAAGTGGTACCCATTCTCCGGATTGTACCCTCAATTAGTCTCACAAAATCAATGAATTTAACTAAAATTATTCCTCTATTGTATAGTAATTATTTTTTATGATATACTAGCTTACC